CCACAAAGTCAGCAGTTCAAATCCACCAGCATCTTTGAAAGAGAAAGATGAGGCTTTCTGCTCTAACATTTATAGCCTCAGAAACACTATACAGGGACTGTTATAAATCAAAAATTTGCTTGCTAAAATACAAACATACATGTATCACTTCCAGCAAGCAAGGCTGTATCATCTACATATCATGTGCTATGAATGACTCTTCCTCCAATCCTGATGCCATGTCCTTCTTCACATAATCCAGTTTCTCGGATTACTTGCTCAGCATACAGAATGGACAAATGTGGTGAGAAAATACAACCCAGGCACATACTTTCCTCATTTTAAACCATTCAGTATCCCCTTTTTCTGTTTGAATAAGTATGGTGAAAGAATACAACCTTAGAGGGACTTCCAGCAAGATGGCGGACTAAAGAGATGCACTGCAAAGACCCTCTACAACAAAGATACAGGAGACCAAATAAACCAGACATCGATGAAAATTCTGGCATCCTGAACTTCAGAAAAGTTAGAGAGTTGGATGGAGTACTTGCTGGGAGGAGAGGCCAAGCAGGGTTGCTGAAACATGGGGAGACTGACTGGTGATCAACAGGCCAAACAAAGATCCAACAGCAGTGTGAGCAGCTTTGGCAGCAGGGATTTACAAGGATGACCCAAAAGGTGTGATCTCTTCTTTTCCCCTACATCCCACGGGTGAAGGGTAGTGTCGCCAGCTCTCACCTTCATCCACCCCCAGAACAGACTATGCTCTAAGAGAGTCTGGAGTCCTGTGGTTGGGAGCCCTATTAGCATGAGGTGGAGCCAGCTGCGCCACTCTGATACATCACTTTAATGCCTGGACATCATGCTTAGTACAGAGTCAGTGAATAAGAGTTAAAATTTTCAATGAGATGGACTCTGACACAGTGGCCACAATAATGGGCTCAAACACAGGAATGAGTATGAAGACTGTGCAGGACCAGGCAGTTCACTCTATTATACACAGGGTCACTAAGTTGGAACCAATTCAAAGGAACCTAGAAACAAGTTAGTAATTTTACAGGTATTAAAATAGAAAAATATACTAAACGCAATCCACCATATAAACAGAAAAAGAACCACATGATTGATACAGAAATGGCATTTGAAAAAATCTAACACCCAATTCTTGATAAAAACACTCAACAAAGCAGGAATTGAAGAGAAATTCCTCAACATAATTAAGAGGACATACACAAACCCAGCAGCCAACATCACTCTCAAAGGAGAGGAATTGAAAGCATGCCCTTTGTGAACAGGAACTAGAAAAGGATGCCCCTTTTTTATCACCACTCCTATTCAATATTGTGTTGGAAGTCTTATCAAGAGCTATGAAGAAGGAAAGGGAAATTAAAGGCATTCATACTGGCAAAGAAATAGTCAAACACTCTCTATTTGCAAATGATATGATCTTATACATAGAAAATACCAAAGATTCACCAAAAAAAAAATATTGGAACTCATAGAAAGACTCAATCAAGTGGCAGGGTATGAGATCAATATATAAAAATCAGTTGGATCCCTCTATACTGATGAAGACAGCTCTGAAAAGGAAATTAGGAAAACAATACCATTTACAATAGCCAACCAAAGGATGAAATACCTACGAGTAAAACTAAACAGAAAAACAAAAGACCTATACATAGAAAACACTACTAAAAGAAACCAAAAGAGATTTATAAAAATGTAAGAATGTGCCAAGCTCTCCACTTAACATTGTGAAAATGTTAATACTATCCAAAGCAAATCTACAGATCCAGATTCCAACATCATTCTTTAAAGAGATGAAAAACAATCACAAACTATATGGAAAGGCAAAGAGACCTCGGATCAGCAAAGCACTGTTTAAGAAGAGGAACCTGGAACTGGTACAATGAAAGATACATAGATCAATGGAGCAGAAACGAGAACCCAGAAGTAAATCCACCTACATACAGTCAACTGATCTTTGACAAAAGGGTGAAACATATTAAATGGGGAAGAGACCGTCTCTCCAACAAATGGTGCTAGCAAAACTGGAAATAGATTTGCAAAAACAAGGCCCTATCTCAAAAACTTACACAAAAATTAACTCAACATGGATTAAAAACCTAAATGTAATCTCCTAACTATACAGATCATCAAAGAAAAAATAGGGACAAATTTAGGGACTGTAATAGACTGCCTACATATACTATCACACACTGAAAAAAAAATATAAGAACAACAGAAGACAAAATAGATTACTGGGAATTCTAAAAATTAAAAACTTATGTGCATCAAAAGATTTCACCAAAAGCGTAAAACAGGGAGCCCAAGAATTGGAGAATAATTTTTTGCAAATTCTTGAAATATCAGACAAGGAACTAATATCTAAAATTTATAGAAAACTACAACACTGCTACAAGAAAAAGACAAGCAATCCAATTAAAAAATGGGCACAAGACATGAACAGACACTTCACCAAGAAGGATATTCAGGCAGCCAATAAACATACGAAGACATGTTCATAATAACTGTTTTTGTGCCCTTGAGTTGGTTCCAACCCACAGCAACCCTGTACAGAGTTTCCAAGAAGCAACTGGTGAGCTTGAACTGCCTACCTTGCGGTTCTCAAACCAACTTTGCCGCATCAACCCACAGTGCCACACCAGGACTCCTCATGATAGTTGTTGTTGTTGTTGTGAAGTGGACACCCTGTATAGGGTTTCCAAGAGCATGATAATTAGCCATACATAAATCAAAATATCACTGAGATGTAACCTCACACCAGTACTAACAACAAAGTTCAAAGCAAACAAAAACAACAAATGCTGGCAAGAATGTGGAGACCCTCCTACACTGCTGATGGGACTTCAAAATGGTTCAACCACTCTGAAAAAAGGTATGGCACTTCCTCAGAAAGTTGGAAATAGAAATGCCTTATGACCCAGCAATCCTTCTACTTGGTATATATCCATAAGAAATATGATCCAGAATATGAGTAGATATATGCACATCAATGTTCACAGAAGCACTATTCACAACAACAAAAAGATGGAGACAGTCTAGTGTTCATCAATGGAAGAATGGATAAACAAATTTTGGTATATACACCCAATGGAAAACTATGCAACCATGAAGAATGATGATTAATCTACAAAACACCTCATAAAACTTGATGTACCTGGAGGACATTATACTGAGTGAAATTAATCACAATAGGTCAAATATTGCATGAGACTACTATTATAAAATCTTAAGAAAATATTTCCCTACTAAAAGAGGGACAGAGTAGTTCATAAGCATATTGTTTGGCTGTTAGACTATCAAGCAAGCTGTGAAAAGTCAGTTCTTCTGGAATACCGCATCCTAAGTTTGAGATGCAGAGGGAACCCATGAGCACTCCATTGTGCTCATTGGTGACTTCCCTGGTCTACTTGTGAATGGCAGTAGAGGGAATGCAGCAATGAAGACATGGGCTGAATTTGGCCATGTTCCATCACCACCTGTTGACTAAAGATAAGAAAGAGGAGAGAAAGGGCTAGCTGGTCTGAAGTTTAGGGAGATGTGTGAACTCCTGTGCCCATGGCAATGACCTAGCCACGGGAGGGTAGGGCTGACAGTGAAGTGGCCAAATGATCCAAGTGCGGGGAGGCATGCATGAACTCCCAAAGTTGCACCTACTACCCACTTGACCTAGCTTGGATAGTTATTTGACCAGAACTTGACCAGATGAATGTAAAAATGCTTGATACTGTAAGCAAATACAAACTGCCAACAATTTGATGATCTGGACCTTTGTTTAAGGATGCAGTTGATCAAAATTCCAACGGAAATGAAAGGATTCCTCATATCAGTGATCAAGCTGTTTTCTCAGTGAGCTGGGCTGATAGGAATAAGCAATGTAGACATTGGCTATCAAAAATCGGGGGGGGGGGGCTATAAAGGCACCAAGTGCCTTTATACAAGTTTTCATGAGTGTGCTTAGTTTCAAAAAGGGGAATAAGGCAGAATTCCCCACTGAACAGCTTACCCTTTCTAGATGGACCTGGTGAAAGAGGATGGGGGATGATGGTGATAGGGTTTTATGATTCAATTGTGAGTAATTATTAGCAGGATTAATTGCAATGGTCACAACTGTAATTTTATAAGATATGTAACTAAAAGGGGGAGTAGTTAATCTTTTATTTCAGGAACAGGGAATCCGAGGACTATAAAGAAGGAAGAGCAAGACAGTAGCATAAGATCCTACCTAGAAAAGCAGCAACAGCAGAGAGAGTAGCAGAGGTGATTGCATGGAGAGGGAGAGCAGCTGCAGACTTTAGGCCCATGGACTGAGAAAGGCTATGTGCCTATAGGCAGGAGGCTGGCTTACAAAATGTGTCTTTTGGAGAGTAAAGAGATATGTATTGTTTTTATGTGTACATCAAATATGCATTGTTGATTTGTTTAATTAAAAAAAAAAAGGATGTAAAAGGGAAGCTACAGGGAATAAGCAGGATAACTGTAGTTGCAACGAGGGGATTGTAATCATTTAGATGAAACAAAACATATGACTGGTTGAAAATAAAGCTAATGATCTCGTCTGTTAACCTTTGCTTCACAATAAAAAGTTTAGAAAAAAAATTGAAATGATATACTATAGGATGAATGTAAAACTAATGTTCTCCCATGTAAGCTATCACATAATTCACAATAAAACATTAAAAAAAAAAAGGTCTAGTACAGTAAAAGGGAACTGTCATACAACTATGGCAATCATATAATAGTGATAGATGTTCAAAAGTCAGTATCATCATTATATAAAAACACAGCAAGCAATGGAAGATTTCTATTCTGCTTGAGCCCTGTGAACAATACAGGTCTGGAATTAGATAGCGCTCCCTTACCCTACATTAGCTCTGTAAAGATAGTCCCACTCAGGAATGATAACTATGTTTAGTAAAGATCTCCACACAGCCAGGAAGAAGAAATTACAAACAAATCAATGTTGACTATTATAATGTCGACATTTATTTACCTACCTATCCCAGTCCTCATTAGCAGCTCTTCTCCTCCAGGATCGTTCTGCACCAGGCTTATCGAACTGATCAAAATCATCATCTGTAAAGATTTCATTAAAATCATTCTTATTAAATGAAACCAGCCATACAGCACAAAAATGTTCATGAAAACTAAATTTTTTTTTTAAAGATTAGTGCCATACATTGCAAAACACAAAAGTTCCACATACAACTACTACAAATGCTTTACCCAGTCATATAATTACCCTGAGACTTTAAACAGACATTTTTTAAGGGCACAGCTACCAAAGAAAATTAACTTATTAATAAACACTATTAAGCATGAAAACCTGCTAAATAGAAACACAGAATTCTTTTAGAATCAATTCCACAGTGTTTTCTTTGTGAAATAAAGGTATGAGGTATGATTTTTAACTGTATTAAAGAAAAATAGTTTAATTTTCTAAAGTTAGATATCTTTACAGTACTTTTTATAATCTTCATATTTTTCTAAGTATAGAAAATATAGCCCCTATTTTAAAGGAGTGGGAACATAGAGTGGCACCAAATGTTGTATGAATGATACTTAGGTAACTTTGAATATTCTAGCAGCTACATTGAAAAAGTAAAAAAGAAAATGTAAGCCTAATAAACAATATACTCTATTTTGTCATTGTTGTTAAGTGCCGTCGAGTAGATTCCGACTCATAGTGACCCCTGTATAGGACATCCGAGAAGGTGGTGAGCTTGAACTGCCAACCTTGCAGTCTGGCACATTAACCCACAGCGCCACTACCAGGACTTATTTAGCATGTCCAAAATTTTTATTTCCATGTTGTTGTTGTTGTTGTTGTTGTTAAGTGCCATCGAGTCGGGTCCGACCCATAGCGACCCTGTACAGGGTTTCCGAGGGTGTAAATCTTTACGGGAGTAGAAAGCCTCATCTTTCTCCCGCGGAGCAGCTGGTAGTTTCGAACCGCTGACCTTAAGGTTCGCAGCCCGATTTGTAACCACTACGCTACCAGAGCTCCTTTATCAATATAAAAAATTAGATATTTAAATTTTATCATACGTCTTAGAAATTCAGTGTGAATTTTACACAAAGTACATCTCAACTTTGACTAGCTACATTTCAAATGTTCAAAAGCCAATTAATAAAAATGATCTGGAAGTGTAAGTGGTACCAAGGTATATGGTGCAGGTGGAGAGATGAAGAGTCTTTAAAACTCAGTTCTTTTACTGCAAATGAGATATTATCTACCTAAGGAATTTGCTGACATATTAAATGTGGCAATATAAATTTAAGGTAGAGGGACTAAGATTAATCAACAGGATCTGATGCATAGTTATTTTCATTATTAGAAAAATCAAGGAATTGAAAAAACTTTTCATGTTGGATACACAGACAAAGATGTTTTAAGAACTAGCAATAGGTACTTATCCCCAAAAAGATTCAACACAAGGGAACCAGATGATATTAGTACCTATAAAGTCTCTGAATTTTATCTAGCCTGGGGCTGGAAGATGGATCTTGGCTGAAAACAGAGTCATAGAAAGATTACTTAACTTGTGCTTTATTAACTACGTAAACATTTTTGGCTATGCAGATCACAACAAGCTAAGAGAATTTCCAACCTTTAAAAGTGCCTGAAGTTAAAGTGCGCAATGACTGGCAAGACATGAAATCCTGAAAATTGGGTGGGGGATATCTAGGCAGATACATATGAAACTAGGTGCAATGAGTCCATAAATTCTGTTGAATCACTTATGGTAGTAGAACAAACCTCTATCTTAAGAGATAAAATCCAGCTTTGTCAGCTAAATCATCTTTGCCAGTAAAATCAGCCCTCCCATCCCCATCTGAAGAGAATAACCCATATGCTTCAGGGGATAACTTGCCTTATGTGTTGCCTGAGACAGATACCTTACAAGAAATAAATACCTGACAGTCTCTAGGACCCCAATCTCACCATCCATTTTTGCTTCGAGACCTACAACTAGACTCAAGTCCTAGCAAGCCTAAAGACATAAGAAGGTACACTACATTTCAAAAGAATTGCATTTTTCTAATGTATACAAGCACACACCTGGGGACTATGTGTAGGAATGGCTATTAAGGGTATGGGATAATGGCGCAAAGCACATAAAGTTGGATTAGTCTGAGCGTATTATATGGGCCCACTAGGAGATTCTTCATTTAGTGTTTTAGCTTGAGGGGTTAGAAAAGGATCTAATAGTTTATTTGGTTGGCTGGTTGAATGAAGCACGGACTAAGAGGTAGCCTATATTATTAAATGAAGTTGAGAGGTCCAAGCTCTATGGATAACATTGTAAAGAGTGGGTATTCCAGAACACCTCATTGTACTCATAAGGAACCTGTACATGGACTGAGAGCCAATTGTTAAAACAGCAAAAGGGGATACTGAATAATTTAAAATCAGAAAAGGTGTGTGCCAGGATTAAATTATTTCACCATTCTTATTCAATCTAACAAGCAGTTAAGAAATCAAACAATGTGTTACATTAGGCAAATCTGCTATACAGACAAACCTTCTGTAAGAAGATGAGAAGGCAGGATGGTGAGACTTCAACTCTCATATATCAGAGAGGAATCAGTCCCTGGAGAAGGACATCATGGTAGGTAAAGTGGAAGGTCAGCAAAAACAAGGAAGACTCCCAACGAGGTAGAATGGCACAGTGGTAGCAGCAATGAACTCAAGTGTAACAATTGTCAGTTGTGCAAAGATAGGGTCACTATCCAAATCCCATCAAGGTCACTATCCAAATCCCACTTAACTTCTGTGAAAAACGGTGAGCTGATCCTAAATTTCTTCATGTGGAACAGCAAAAGACACATAGGATCAAAAATAACCTTTAAAAAAATCAAAGTTGGGGGAGCAGACGTCTCAATTTCAAAATCAGAAAACTCATTAACCAAAATAGAATGGATAGACATAAGTCAGTGTTAGAATTGAGAGTTCAGAAATAAGGTCATGGTCAACTGATTTTCTACATTAATTGTGAAGCCCATCAGTGGGGAAAGAATATTCAACAAAATGGGAGGTGAAACAAATAAATATCCACATGCAAAAGAACGAAACTTGACCCCACATTCTGAGGAACGGCTGGTTGAGTTTGAACAGCCAACCTTAGGGTTCAAAACATCCTTGTAGTCCAGTATTAATCCTACAGAACATGACCCCTATATCACACCATATATTTAAATATAAATATATGTGTATATACATATTAAAATGGATCAAAAACTAAGTCTAAAAGTAAAAACTGTAAAACTCTTTAAAAAAAAAACAAACAGATAAATCATCATGATTTGGCAATGGAATCACAGGTATGATGCCAAAAATACAAGCAACAAAAGAAAACACAGATAAACTGGACTTTGTCAAAATTAGTGACTTCTGTGCTTCAAAGGATACCATAAAGAAAGTGAAAAGACAACCACTGGCAGAACTGTACAATGAAAAATGTCCAAGGAAGTCCTTCAGGCAAAACAAAAAGAGAGATAATAATGACACACATACAGCTGAAACTACACAAAGGAATGAATTAATATGAGAAAAGGTAAACCACATGAATAAATAGATTTCAAAAGTTTTTAACTGCATTCCCTTTAAATGATACTGCTATGTCTTTTTAAAAGATGTTCAATCCATCAAAAAATATATTGATAGTGAAGTTCATTAAAATAAAAATTTTCGGCTCTATGAAAAGCACTGTTAGGAGAATGAAACGACAAGCTATAGACAAGGGGAAACGATATGTAAATAACATTATCTGATAAAGAACTTGTACCCAGGATTTAAGTACTCATATCAAAGACAGAGTCCCTCACTAGTGCACATAGTTAATGCAATTGGATACTGACTGAAAAGTTGAAAGTTCAAGTCCACCCAAAAGCATCTCAGCAGGCCTAGCCATTTACTTTGGAAAACTCATCATTATAAATGCTCTAGAACACAATTTACTCTGACCTACATAAGGTATATCATATATACCATGAGTCAGAATCAACTCCGCAATAAATGATCCAAAATAAGAGCTCTTACAAAACTCTTACAATTCAAAGAATAAAACTCACCCAACTAAAGAGAACTGAACAAACCTTATCAAAGAAGTAACTCTTCAGCATATTCTATTTCAAAGATACCTTGACTTTTCTAGCTAGGTCCTCTGTATTTCTACGTGAATTTTAACATCAGTTTATCAATTTCTACAGCAAAGTTGCAAAGATTTTGATTAGGACTGTGTTGAATCTACAGATCAACTGGGAAGAATTGGCATTTTAACAATAATGGATCTTTAACCTCAAGAACTAGGTATACCATAAATAATTTTATCAATTTAATTAGGGTTCTAGTTTCAACAGTGTTTTGTAGTCTTCAGGGTACAGGTATCTCATATCTTTTATATTTGTCCTTAATTGCTTCACATTCTTGTTACAATCGTCCATGGTATCTTTTAAATGTATTATTGTTCATTATTTATATGCAGAAACTTTCTTTTATAGGATTTTTACATACATTAACATGTAATGTATTTACGCTGTGCGTAAATGTGTAAGACTGCAAAGCCGTTATGAGCTGCAAGGTCAGTGGTTCAAGCTCACCAGCTGCTCCTTGGAAACCCTATACAGGGTCACAATGGGTCGGGAACCAACTTGACAGCACTTGACAACATATACTTTATTTTATAAGGCTTTAGATTTTTTTTAAAAGGTGCAGAAAATACACAGAGTTAGATATAATTTCTCCCCGCTTTCCTAACCTCCACAGTTTCTCCTATTATTAAATTAACATCATGCATTACTGTAGCACATTTGCTAAAACTGATAAACCAGTTTTAACTATTAATTTAAGTCCATAGTTTACGCAAGGGTTTACTCTGTGCTGTACAAGTCTATGAGCTTTGAATAATGCATAATATCACATAACCACCAATAGAGTATGAAACAGAATAGTTTCACTGCCCATACAATGCTCCCTATTTCACCTTTTCACGTCTTGCCTCTTCCTCTAAATCCCTGGCAA